CCTGCTCTAGGTCTGCTTCACAGACACCAGAGGCAGGACAAAGCACAACTGTTAAAAATTTAAAGGAACATTGTCTTTTAATTTTTTTTTTCTCTGAAACCCAAGGGACTCCAGCATTTTGGTCCAGAGTAACTCCATGAAGTGTTTCTGGGAAGAATTCAACAGAAAAGTATGTAAAGGAAAAAAAATAGCTTGTGGGAATTAGGAAAGTTAGAGAAATATTTGCTCAGAATTCTGTCTTGAGAAAGAGACACTTGAGCATCTGGCGTTGTATAATCTAAATTAGGGCAGAAGTTAAGTCATGATACCTTTGAAACACTTCCGTGAAAGAGCCGTATCTTGACACAGAAATCAATTGCTGATTTCACATTAATTCCTTTTCCACCAAACACTAAGTCCAGCTCTAGAAAAAGAAGGAAAAAAAAAAAAAAAGAAAGCAAAAGAAAAAGCCGTGGATTTCTTGAAATTCCCTGAAGTGAGGGCCAAGAAATACAGGGAAAAACACTAGACTTGGCACGTCTATGGTTTATCTATACCTCCAAAGGATGAAAAGCTGAATTGACCCTGTTGGCACACCGACCTGTTGTTCTACCAGTCTAGTTATTTCAGCCAGCCTTAACCCTTTCATTTCACCCTTGTATCATGCTTCTGTTAGATGGTGTTATGCATGTCTGGTAGGAGGCACACCTGAAGAAACAGAAAATCATCATTGCCTGGACCTCCTTGATGTCTCTGGCTTGTGGTTCAGCATCTCCCTCACTGCAGACCAGGGACTGCTCTGCACTGGCACAGTGCAGTTCTCCTCAGCTATTTTATATCAACAAGAGAAGGAAAGAAAATCTCCATGTCTGCTCTCAACCATTGTCTGTCTCTTGGAAATACAATTTTCAATTTAAATCCAGCATGGCCAATTCTAGAGGCCATTTCAGTTCTTGCAGCCTTGCTGCTCATCTTGCCTCCAGAGCCCTGAGCACAGGGATCATCTTTGACCCTTTGCTTTCGTTTAATGTGACTGGGCTGTCCCAGTGTGCTGCGATTCAGTGTCCCCAGCATTTACACTGCTTCATTCATAGCGCTACTACAACTCTGTGCATATCTATCCAGACAATAAACTTTTTAATCAAGGCCCTCATTATCTCCCATCTCCTTCTTGAACTAGCTTCCTCCTTCTTGAACCTGTGACATATCAGGCAGTTTGATCTATTTAAACACAAGCTCCCAACATCCTCTTCCCTGTCTGCTCCTGTGGTCAGAGCCAAGCCACCTCCTGCCTTTCCTCCTTATTTGCCTCCATCTAGTCTTTTATTTTCACATGTGAGGTTGTGACAGTTCCGCTGTAGCTGTCATCACTCCACCATTGTCTCTACAGCACGGCTCTGCTCTCTTTGCCAGTAATGCTGGCATCCTCATGCCTTTATCTGCTGCTCCCAGGGGAGCCTTTATGCCCTCTTCCATGACACTCTTGTCCACGGGATGCCCTGCCTCCTTCGGCTCAGTTGGTGATAGCAAACTTTGTTGCATCAACCATAAAGAGTTGATAGTTTGCAATGAGGTTAGCCTGGAATTGTTTACAGGTGATGCAGTGGGTTTTTTTGCTAAGGGAGGTACATCAGTCTGGGTATGTGATTGTGCCTTTCCCCTTCCTCTCACCAGCTGTCTCTTGCTTTCTTAGACGGTGGGTCTGCACAGCCTCTGTGCAGTGGGATTCCTGATTGCTTCTGCACTGTAAATTTTCTGTAACACCAGAACGGTAACAGCTATCATAACGATGGCAATTTTGTTTTCTAAGCACTGCAGTCCAGATGTTAACAATGGTATAGTACAGCTAAGAACTGCTATTCTCTCCCCAAGTCATGTTGTTATGCAATGGAAACACTGCACGATATATAAGGACTGAAACCACTGCAGTACTTGGGTACAAACCCAGGAGTTAAACAAGGAATAGACATCTTAAGTCTGTTCCCTTGTTTTTATTGGTCTTGGTGAGACCTGCAGCTTTATAGTCATGGGCATTTTATATTTAAGTTTGAGTTTTTAGAGACATTCTGGAACTGTATAAAAAGCCCCTTTCTCTGACATCGGCATCAGGCTTGTTATAATGTGAATGGCATCATTACAGTTCTCTCATTAACATCATAATGGCTCTGGAGGAATAGGGAGTGAAAACCCCGGCAAATGGAGTAGTGGCAATGTATAGTAGTCTTACTGTGTGAAACTGAGTACAGAAAAAGTTTGGCATTTTAACCTTCAGGCTGCTGTAGATGCCCCGGGGTGTCCTCACACTACACACATTTGGCTGACAAAATGGAAAAATTGTGGTAGCCTAAGGATGGAGGGCTGGGTTCAATAAAAAACTATGCCTGGCTTCCATGCCACTGAAGCCCACACAAGGCTCCCAAATGGATTTTTCAAAATTGAATCCAGCCCTAAGTGTCAACCTTTTGCTGTAATTTTGTATAGTGAATGTGTTGTATACTCAAATGTACATCTTTCATCCTTTATTTCCAGAGGTGCTAATGGAAATGTAACAATATGTGTGCTGTTCTGCAAAGTCTCATTGAAACCAACGGGATTTTGGATGAAATCCCTCCATTGCATAAGATAATGTAATATAAACGGGTTGGGCTTAAGGCTGGAGGACGATGAGATTTGGTTCTATTTCTGGCTCTGACACTGATTTGCTGTGTGACTTCTGGCAAGATACTCAGGAGTCGATTTTGCCACCCTTAATGGGGAAAAACAGTAGGCTGGCTCTTCAGGAGCAGTGCCAGAGATCCTGTTTGTGGAGTTAGGTCTGGTAGTGCTTTCTCAGTAAACACCAGGTTACAGTTCTGCCATGTCCAACTTTACCTTCAAGGAGGCTGACTTTTCCCATGTGCTGAGTGCTTGTAGCTTCCTTCCCACTCATTTGCAGCAGCTGGAAATCAGTGCTTTTGAACATCCAAGGGGAACAAATAGCATGCCCAGTCATGAGCCCTTTTAAAAGCCTGGTTCTCAGCTTCTGTGTGCTAAAGCAACCCCTCTGCTACAAAATGGGACCTATTTTGTAGCTGAGTGCCACCTGTAGAGCTTTGTAACACATGCTGAGACCTACAAGCTTGGTTTGGGGCTTTGGTTTTCTGGTGGGTGGTTGTTTTTTGTTTGTTGTTTGTTTTTTTTTCTCCCAGGGAAGCTCTATAATTTATGCCTTGGTTTTATACAGTTTGGAAACATGGAGAATGTGCATGGACAGTAGCTGTTTATGGAAGTGAACTGGCTTGCCTCTATTCATTTTGCATGTTGTAAATAGCAGAAGCAGTTCATTTACTTTACTGGCTGTCCAGAGAACTCAGCTTTTCAAGATAAATTAGCAGCACTGTACAGAAGGCATCCCAAAGCTTCCTTCCTTCCTTCCTGCGTGTTGCTGCTTGAGCATAGCAAGACCTATTTGTGATGAAATATGGTAAGAAAAAGATGCACAGCTTAAATCTCTGATTCTCATTACCAAAAAAAAAAAAAAAAAATCCACAAAGAGATGCTGAATTCATTATGAGCAAAGAAACCCTGACTTTCCCGAAGCAGCAGCGAGTTTCTTCCAGCCTTTTTTCTCTCAGGACAAACACTGAGTGTTGACATCATGCCAATATGAGAAGATTGATGTGTCCCTGTGAATGATTCCTCAGTGCAGATTAATGAGAAGAGTCCATCGGTGCTTTCTAATGATGGCGTAATCTTTTCAGACACAAAATATATGACTTTTTAGCTGCTTCTTGGACCAGTTTTTGGCCCTGCTGTTAGGTCAGCAGACTGACCCGTTTGTTTTGACCATTCCTTTCATGTATTGGTAGTCATCTGGTAACAAAAGGTGTGGGGAATAAATAATATATATTGTCTATCTGTGTCAGGGATAACTTCCAATGGGCCAGTCCAGTGGCTTGCCATTCCCTGTGTTGCTTCTTGGCAAAAAGCATGATGGCATCTTAGAAAAAGCAAGATGGCATGAAGGGGCTACTGCAAGAAAGTGACTGAGGGCTACATGCAGTGCTTTAGCAGTAAATTGACTTTGAGGAAGGGTCAGTCCGATTGCAGCGAGGTCTGGTGACCTTTACTCAGGCAAACTGCTTGGGGACTCAGCTGACTGTCCCTTCACCTCCCATTTTTGCCTCAGTGAGGAGGCAGAGCAGACCCATGCACGCATGCATCCAAGACACAGACAGTGCATGCTGGAAGCCGTTTCTTAATAAAGTAGCAGTCTTTTGCATTCTTCCAGGATTTAAGAAAACAACTGGCAGATGTGAAGGATTTATTTTTCCTCCCTCTTCTGCTGCGGTTTATTTTTTCCTCTTGTTCGAGAGCGCTCAGCTGCTAACACAAACAATTGCTGAAATTCCACCTGCCCACCTGCGGCCCCTCCTTCCCGCCGCCTGCTCGGGCCCTCGTCTTCCTCCGGGAGGGTTGCGCCGAGGAGAAACTACATTCCGCTTTCTTAGAGAGAGGAGGAGGAAGGGGAGGGAGGAGTCGGGCTGTGTCTGGGCGCATTGTTCCGCGCTCCTCTGCCAAGAAGTAGGTGACTATGATGAACTCATCCCTCGCCCCTCGCAGAAAGTTTGCCGCCTTCCCCCCCTTCTCCCCTCCCCTCCCGCCCGCTGGCGCGGCAGGAGGCAGCTCGCAGCCCGGAGCTGGCCCCGGAGTCCCCGCTCCTGCTTAATATTCCGCCCGCTCCGCCGATGTTGTGCTTGGCTCCGGTGGGACCGCAACTCACGGCGTGAAACCGGAGCCAATTTTCTGTCTTAGTCTCGCAGTGTTTTGACTGGAGGCAGATCCAGTTCAGTCCGATCGGGGCTAGTGGAAACAACTACCTAAGTCTCCGCTGTCTGTGTCGTTTGGGAGGGAAGAAAGAAGAAAGGAACGCGATCCCGGACTGCTGGGCGCTCTCTCTCACACACACACAGGCACACACGCACACCCCACCGCACACACACACACACGCACCGCACACACACGCACCCAGACAGGCAGACTCGCACCCCCTCCGGTGCCGAACGCGCCGTGCCAGCACCGCCGGGAGGAAATGGGAAGCCAGTGAGCGGATCCGTGCCGGTGTGTGAGCGCCGCCGGGGCCGGGGCCGGGGCCGGGGCGGCGGGGGCAGCGGGAGCGCGGCCGGGGGCGGTGCGGGGGGAGCGCGCACCAACTCCCGGTGCGGGGGACCCCGCGCCCTTTGTGACAGAGGGCTCCGCTCATTTTTCTGCCGCAAGAAGGGGGAAAAGAAAACGTGCGTCTATGCGATATCGGCATGCGTATGTTTTTAATATACGTGTGCGCAGAGGTCTGGCTGCCGGGGGGCGCGGGGGGCGGGACGCCGCGGGGCGGGGGGCAGGTGGCGGGGCGGCGGGCGGTCACCGCGCTGCTTCGCTTCCAGGTGCCGGCGCCCGCGATGACCCTGGTGCTGCCCATGCAGCGGCTGGGCCGCCCCATCGCCGCCGAGGGAGCCGCCGACCTCGCCGCCTACCGCGCCCTCTGGGAGCCGCCCTGCTGCGGCCGCCCCGGCCCCGCCGCCCCCCCGGCCCCGGCCCCGGCGGCCCCCGGGCCCCCAGCCGCAGGTAGGCACCGCTCCGCCGCGGGGGGAACGCGGCGGCCACCGGGGGCACGAAGGTCTGCCGGCGGAGGGAGGCGCGGCGGCGGCGGGCGGAGGGCGGGAGGTCTCCCGCGGGCGAGCGGGGCCGCAGGTGCGCGGGGGCTGCCGGGCGCCGTCGCACCGGCATCCTCGGAGCGATGGAGGTGGAAAGTTCTCCGGCAGCCGAGCGCCCTGCGGCGGCCCCGGCTCCCCCCGCTGCCCGTCACATCGGTCCCCGGGCGGCTGGCGGGCGATGTGTTAGTTAGGCGAGGGTTTATTTCTGATCGCTGCGAATAGATGCGAAAATATGCGGCGGAGTTCTCCTGTAGCGCGAAGGGAAATGAAAAGTATTTTGTTTGGAGAACCTCCGGCAAACCGCATGTCATTTGTCATATCTGATTTATTACCCACAGGATCACATTACAGGGGAATTTCAAATCCTGTAACAACATCCAAGATCACATACTTTAAAAGGAAATATGTGGAAGAAGAGGATTTTCATCCACCACTCAGCAGCTGTACACATAAAGTATGTCTTCTAATAGTCATTATTTTTACTCCGAGTTTCAGATGCTTAGTAACACTCAATTGACCCATTTCCAGAAGCCTGAAATACTCTGCTGAAATTAGGAGAATGATCCAGCTGCTTGCTCAGAAACAAATAGTTGCCACTTCTTCACATTTATTGTTGTATTGTCATCGAATTGCTTAAGAAGCAAAGGCGTTTCTTCGTTAATAACAACTGTAAATAGAAATGCTGAGAATAACTTTTTTTCAGACTATTTTGTTCTTAGCTAGTTTATGTCATGCTTTCAGAAACAGCTCTGTAACAGCATTTGAACAGCAGAAGGGAAGAACATAAGTAAAAGATTCCCCACTCATTCAAAACTTTTTTTCCAGGGGAGAAAATAGTAAGAGGTTCCATGTACCCCACACGGGTTACAGGTCTTCTGGAAAAGCAGAGTGACTTGGAAAGCAAGTACAAGTTCCTTCAGTGTTTAATCCTGTTTATTAAAAAACTAATAACTCAAAAAAACCAGATTAGTAGATGAAAGAATATTTTTTTTAATGAAAGTTTTCAAGGGAGGGATTAGAACAAATGTTTCCCAGGCTAACAAATACACAAATTTAAATCTAACTTTTTTTGTGAGAGATTTTATGCTCCTCTTCATTAAGGGCTCAGTCCTGCTTGGAACTGGGATGAAGTGCTTGGGGATAGCTCCTGCCTTGAGACACCACCCTGACTTTGTTGGATTGTACCTGGCCCATGGCGGACCACCGCTACCCATGTTCTATTGGTGATAGAGGAGGGATTTCTGCAGAGCAGAAGTGAGCAGTAGTGCTGAGTTCACTTTCCAAGGACCTTAGAGTACCTCAAGGCTACAAGTAGGAGTTGTCTGCAAGTGGTACCTGGACTGGGAAAGTGAAAAACTGCCCCACTGTTAATTTCAGAAAGTATCCAGTCTGCTGCCAGAGCACTGAATAAACAGCACCAAGGGTGTTGAAAAATGTGCTCTGGTTAGTGAGCATGTTTCACATGTCTCGTCACTCTCCAATTTCAGACAGTTTTGTTCTTTTTTACTAGATTGTTGGATTTTTGTTTCGATGATTAATTTCCTTGCAAAGAGGAGGAGGAATAGTTTCTTAGCCCTTTCAAACAGCAGTAAAAAATAATTGTAGGGGTACTGGTAAACTAGGCCCAACCACGGTTTTGTGCTGTTACAGAGGTGTATCACCTCAGAAACCCTGTGTCACCAATTTCTTCTGTTTGGCCCAAATACATTTTTTGCTTTGCAGCACTAGGCTCTGGCAGAGGGAGGATGCCCACCAGGTTTCCTTGAATTTCTTACGTGCTTATACCTTCGCTGCCCAGTAAAGAGTTATGTGCTGAGATTACTTGTCCCATAGAGGTTATGATGGTAGGGCCCAGAATCACTTTCCAGAGGGCTGCTGGCAAATGTGTAGTAGAAAGCCTTTGACAACTTGTACCTACTGGTGTCCCTCCAGGATGTATCTCCAGGAGAATCCCAGTTCAAGGCTTACTGGTTTGCTCCAGGCTTTTATGGCTTCGCAGACTGTTGCTGCAGCAGGTATAAAGGACCCAAATTAACCTATAGGCTTAATATACTTTAAAATGAGTCATTTATTATAGAAAATTACTCTCTCTAGCAAAGAGCTTCAGCTGTGAACTTGCAAGAAATTATGGGCAATTTTTGTTTTTGTGAGGCACTGTGCTGCTTCTAAGCCTCGCAGACATGACCGGGCTGTGGAAAGAGCTAGAGGGCTGAGGAGAGCTGAATGGATGTGAAAAGCAGCTGTGCTTTAAGCTCTTTTAGTCCTCATAGCTACGACTTCCACTCTGCAAAAATGCTGTAACCATGTGGGAAAGGGAAGAATGATCAAGCCACAGATGGGGGGGATTTAGAGCAGTCTCTCTTTGTGCTATGCTGCTTCTCCTCCTACGCAAACCAAATTCTTACTAAAAATGAAAATTAGTTAATACTGCTTACAGTAGCATGCGTTGCCCCCTCTCTTATTTTGATTCCCAGGGTAGCGATTACAATGCAGAATCCGGGGCCTCCTGGGGGCAGTAACCTGCTTATGCTGCCAGTGCTGAGAAAGGGAGTCCTGGAAGGACCATGGAAGGGAGAACAAATCTGTGGGCGTCGAGCCAGGATTTCTGCAAATTCCTATCCTCTCTTCGTTTCCTGACCTTGTCCCTGCCTATCTGTGTTCCCACCGGTCCCACAGAGCGCAGGGTGTAGTACGCAGGCCAACAGCTGCTCTCCAGATGCTGTGATGCTTTGAGATGGGTTTCTCCCTGCCTCCCTCCCTGCATGCACTTTTGTACACAAGAGCAGTGTAAGAGAGCCTGGCAAATGGAGACCTCCTCGCTGGAGGGCCTCTTCCACTGGCAGTGGATGAAATGCTCCAACACTTGCTGCATGAGGCAATGGCTGCTGGCTGCGTCTTGCAAACCTTGACGCTGCAGGAGGGACCCTCACTTGGCTTCAGAGCTGTGTAGAAGCCCCACAGGGGATGATGGAATTGGGTCCATTTGCAACAAAAATCCCCCAGCCATTACTGGAGCGAAACTGCGCAACAATATTATGTTCTAACCCCAGATGTAATTGAAGAACCAAATGTGTGCATCTGGATTTCGCTTTCCCACCCTGGATTCATGCCCTGCAATTGCCTTTGTGGTGTAACACTCAGCTACTTACCTCCTAAGCCTGGGTGAACGCTGTGGCCAAGAAAAAGCAGGTTCCCAGGCACATGGGTGTGCAAAATGAAAAGCCAGCCCTAGGTGCCTCAGAAAGAGAACAGTAAAGTAGTGACACAGAGGGAATACTTTGCTTCATTGTCTTTCTCCTTGCCTAGAACAAAACCAGTTGCCTTCAGTTCTGTATCTTGTATCTTTTGCATTTTCAGACAATCTCCGTGTTTGAGGAGCGGGCCCATATTCTTTACATGTCTTTGGAAAAGCTGAAATTCATTGACGATCCTGAAGTCTACCTGCGGAGATCCGTCCTCATCAACAATCTAATGAAGAGAATTCATGGAGAGATCATCATGCAGAACAATTGGTGCTTCTCCGCCTGCTCCTTCAGTGGCACCTCACCACAAGAGTGGTTTGTGCCTCAGGACTGTCCGTACAGAAAACGTCTTCGGATGGCAAAGGAGGAGTATGAGAAGCTCCACATGTGCTGCTTCTATCAAGAATGTGGCAGTCACTATTTAAATCTACCCTACTCTGTTAATGCTGGTACAGAAAATACTTCCTCCTCTTCCTCCTCCTCCTCTTCCTCCTCTTCCCCCCCCATTTCTTTGCCAAGCTGTTCCCAGCAGGTGGATTATGACGTTGGCAGTGCACCTTCTTACAGAAGTGATGACCAGATACCTGCTAATGAAATATTCATCACTACTGGCAGGTCTCACAGTAATCAGGAAAAAGCAAAATTTAATGATGAGAAAGGAGGTAATGAACCTGAGCAAGGGAGCGTTGCTCTAAACTGTGAACCTGTAAGAGGCACCCATGCTGTCGAATGTAGAGGCAAATTTTATGACTATTTTGAGACTGGATGTAATGACAAGAGCAACGTAAGTGAATCTTGGAAAAAATCCTTAAGGAAAAAGGAATCTTTACCAAGTAATAAAATGTGCTGCAACAAAGGAAGCAAAATATGAGGCATCTTTCTTGCTCTGTTGAAGCATGCACAGCACGTTCTTTCTCTATCAAATTTTTATTTTGAATGGATTTTTTATAGTTTTCTACAAATGGTACAATCATGCCACAAACATGGCATGTAGTTCTAAATGACTGGAGAGCAGATTGCGTAAAGACACTCTGTGATCTGCATCAGCGGGCTATTTATAAATATGGTGACTTCATAAAGGAGGCAGTTGCGTTACTGCTGAGACTGGTGTAGCTATGGTGTAGCTTTCATTACTGAAAATGCCAATCAGCCAGATGGGGAAAACATATCGTTTTATATATCCCCGCCCCCAAGAAGTCTGCCATTAATTAAGAAGAACCTCCATTATGTTTACCAAGGAATTAGAAGTCTGGTAAACAAATTGATGCTACCAGCAAGGATGATGTGCTCCTTGTAACTCGGTGTTCCTTCTGACAAAGGACTGTCTTCATGGACTAGGATTAGACCATCCTTATGTTTTGTACTGATACTCTTGAACTCCTGGATTCAGCGTCTTGTTCAACTGACAAAATAGGACATAGCATAAAGAAATAACCTGTTTATGGGATCTTAATAAGAATGAGACATGCAGCTCAAGTACTTGCGTGTTTTCACCTCGGCTGTAATAACTAATGAGGCTTGTTATACAGGGCAGATTTTTTTTTGGTGCCTTACGTTTTGTCTTAATTTTTGCCAGCGTGAAAATTAAGTATGAATCAGTGATACAGCAGGGATTTAACCTAAACAGAGATTAAAAAAAAAACCCACAGGGTGGATCAATATTATTAGAAACCTTTAACCTTTGAAGTACTGAGTTCAACTTCCTATTCAAACATCTCTGTTCTTCCTTTTTGATGCTCAATTGCTTTTTGATTTGCTATCCTTAGGAAGGGATTTGAGAAACAATAGAGAGATGTCTCTTGTAAACAAGCATTCGATGCTTGAGTGTTTCTATGGCAACTGTCTGTTGCTGGGCTCTTTTTTTTTTCCTTCTTCGTATAATGAAGTTCATGAACCAGTGGCATGTTTTATACTTTATTCTGTTTTGCATAATTTCTCTCTTTTAGATTGCAAAAGCATGCGGGAGTTTTCTATGACTTTTGCTGTTGATTTAAAAAAAGACAAGAAAAGAAGGCAAGAAGCACAATGTTAATTAATAATGTGACGTTAAACACGGTTTTATCTGAATGAATGTAAGGGATTTAATTTTAAAAAAGAAAATTTTGGAGAAATGAGCTGAGATTTCAGAGGCTGAGTACAACATTTATTCATCCCTAGGTAGATGGTTTGCAAAAGTGTGCTGTTTAAAATGCCCAGAAGACATTATTCGTGGTTGGACTGAGAGTGAGTCTTAGATCCACCAAATTAATTAGTTCCCACAGTCCCTATAACAACTGGCAGGATGCGCTCAGCAAAATAGCCACATCCAAGCCACAGCTGACTCATAAATAGCTGGCTGTTCCCGTAGCATCGTGCACTGAAGCAACATGCTCTCTTGCTTCTTGTCCAAAGGGTGGAAACCACCTCTGTGCTGGGGGAACAGCCAGCTCAGCACAGGGCATGAGGATCGCTGGGGGGACACTGCCCTGAGCTCCCCCAGGCTTGGCACTGGAGTCAGCCAGGTCTCTGTTTCTGAGACCTCCTGCTCTGGGTTTCATGGGTTCAGCCTGAATCCTTTGGAGCCACGGTTATTTTGGGTAGCGTGTGCACCCCCCAGCCACATTTGCAAACTGGATGGTCTTTTGTCAGAAGGACCAGTGGTCACTGGAAAAAAGCCCCCCCGCTGCACCTGAAGTGACCACAAAAGAGAGCAGGATGTCAATCAGTGATAACCTTTATGAAGTCAGGTGAGTTTAAACTGATAAGTTTGTAAGGGTTATCATTGTGAAGAGTAACAAATAAAGGAAGTACAAGTCCCACCTGATTTCTCCAAGACAGAAGCTTTTTTATTAATAATAATAATATTAAATATAGATCTCATTCATACAGTGTATGAGTAGGATCATAATTTAGACATTTGTCCACAAGGACCAATTTTTTAAAAAAACTGATTTTTCTTGTGTTATACCCAGATAGTTTAGTAATGTCTGCTCTTTTCCAATATTTGATAAACGCTTGATGTTTTAAGCTTAAATATTAGATGCTTGTATACTAATGTGTTGTTGTAGTAAAGTGAAATTTCCTTGATATATATTTATTAAAATGACCAAAATTCATTTTAATTTTACATCTCCAATGGCTACTGGATCCTTTCCCCCGTGTTCCCCTCCCTCACCAAAGAAAATGCCATTTAATCAAACTGCTCACTGCTGAAGAGGTTACATGGCAGTTGACTGTGCCCCTCAAGCTGGGCCCATGAGGGAGCTCAGCCTTCTTGGGGTTTCAGGAGCCTTTAGGACAGTCTGAAGGTGCACTGAGAAGCAACAGATTCTCTGCAGACTTGCACGTTCAGCCAAGGAAAACACCCGGCTAAATGCTGCCCAAACCACAAATCACCTAACACTTTTGGGGGGGCTGAAAGCTTTCTGACCCTAAGGGGCTCCTTGGTCTTCAAGAACAAGCCTGCACACATAACCTGTCGCAGAGGCTTCTCAGTTGAATTTGCACAAGCTACAGTGATGGATCAGCAGAACTCTGTCTACTCTGGCCTCTCTAATGGCTTCTTTAGTTCCAGGGACATGTAGAAATTAACCTGTCACAGCTCTGGACAGTCTTATTGTCATAAGGGTCTGTAAGGGATGAAATGTCATCTGATGAAGGTTGGCCTGTGGATAAGTGGTCTTTGTCTGGACCCTACCTCACAAAATAATAGCAAATACTGATGGTATATGTGTTGGACTCAGGAGTCCAGTGAGTTGCCTTGTTTGCCTCAGAGGAGACATAGGTATTTCATGTTAGAAAAGGGAGTTGGGAAGACCCTTGTCCAATTGCCAGAAATGCAATAGACCTTGATAGGATTTCCAGCCTGGGCTAGGCTGAATGGATTTCCTGGTTTAAATTTGGGTTGGTTTATGACATGTGAAGACTGTAAAACTGATAGGCCTTTTCCCCACTGCACACTCCAGTACTAAGGACATTTTGCTAGTATCACAAATTTTCAAGAAATAGGTCTTTTACAAGATTACACTAGTGTCTTTCATCTGAATGTCCCACACATAGCTGCTAAATGAATGTTCCTGAACTTGATCCTGGCCTACCTGCCACGAAGAACTGGACAGAAAGCTTCTTTTTAGGGAGATTGCTTTACTCTCTATCATGACACTCTGGTTCTAGAGTGTAAGACTATAAAGTGTTTGCCTTTCAGCACATGGCAAACAGCAACAGAAAAAGATGTTTCTGTTGTCACATCTATATTACTGTTGCTAGGAACAGAAGTGTTATCTTCAGAAGCCAGGTAATACATTTCTCTTGAAAACGCACAGTTCATTTGAGTTGAAAAAACTGTGTTCCTTTTTCAAAGCACGTGGCATAATATCATTGTGCTTCATACGTACTCACTGTTTTTGGTAAAATTTTACTATTTTTACTGTATTAGCTAATCTGTTGAAACAGCTTAACATGGTTACTTAAGCATCCCCAGCGCTCAGACAGCCTCAGCTGGCACCGATGTGCAGTGCCAGCATAGCAGCTGGTTCCAGAGAGAAAACAGACACAGGCTGAGCCGCAGAAATGAAGTGCTTCTTTCAGTCCTGAAGGTGTTACACCCCAAAGCAAAATTGTGGTAGAGACGTTTTTCACATTTCGTCTTTCTGTGCACTCTCCATCCTCCTTTTGCATCCCTCATCTACCATCTGTCCTTTCACTGTTGACCATGACACACTGCCAGGGTGGTTTGGTGGATGTCACCTCCTTTTGGGTTTGTGCAGGAGTAGCAGGGAGTTGGTTCAGAGCCACCGCATGAGCTAAAATTTAAACAAACTAACCAGGGTGCAGTGTATCTCAGCTGCTTCATGGCCCCTCTGGAGGCTCATGCCAGTTGTGACACCCCCACTACCCAAATGGCTTTTCCAGCTGCTGTGGTAGTGATCTGGTGATTAGAGGGCTGTGGCTGAAGTAGAGATGTGAAGGTGATTTCTAGCCTGGATTTGACTTGTGTCCTTTCATTGCCTTCTTAAGCTAAAGGTGTAGTAAGAGGTATAGCAAATGCAATTGCTGCTTACTCATGCCAGGAACCTTGATAAAAGAAGTTTCTTGAGTTTTATCACAAAAAAAAAAGCCAGTCAGTCACATCAGAGAAAGGTTTAAACTGCTGTGGGGTATAGGATTTCATCTGGTGTTTTATTCAGTGAATATAACCCTGGTGCAGAAGCCTCCCAGAGGGACCTGACCTTTTCATTGTCCATCCCTTGCTTTGTAACCTCGAAGAAAGGGGCTGCCCTTGCTTTCTGGAGGTCACCATTTGGGCTTCTCAGTACTGGTATGAGTTTTTCCACAGCTGCACAAAGCACCCCAGAGGCTTTTCCTGGCAGGGTGTGCAGAGCCTGCTAAACGATCGTAGCCAGGAAAGCGTTGCAAAGGATCCTGCTGGAAATGTTAGGAGATGCGAATCTTCCACAAGGCATCCCATGTAACAGCCAAGCCGCTCAGTCATGACTACTTGGAATACACAGTAATTTCCTGTGTTTTTTCAATCTCACTTAAACTTCTCTGACAGATGGGGAAAGATGACTAAACCAAGGGAGTTTACAAAAGTTCGTCTTGTGGTGTTTGCAAACTGTCTCTGTGAGGTCCATTTTCTGTAATGTAAACACAGCCGTGGCCAGGTGCCGAGTGCCTTCCCAGCAGTTAATCCTGCTCAGTTTAAGGCTGCTAATACAAGGTGTGCCCGGCCAGCCAGGTCCACACTGAGGGGCTGAATATGAACCAGCCCAGGGCTAAGGAGTGTTAGGGTGAGACCTTCACTCTCTAGGCTCTACACAGAGAGCATAAAGTGAAGACCAAATTTACTACTACTGGTCAGAAGCTTTCCAAGAGGTCTTGGGTCAGGTGTAGAAGGTTAGATTAAACTCCAGGGGAGTAATCATGTGAAAGCTGTTGCCTTTGGGGCTGTCGTTGGCTTGTTGTTGCTCTCCCTAGTCTTTAAGTCAGAGCAAGGAACAGAGGGCACCTTGGGGAAAGTGAGGTTTTGGTTTCTTGGCTTCGCAGAAGTGGTGCAGACTGCAAGATATGCAAAGCTTTTTCACCAGATCCAGGTAGGCAAGTGTGTTAACTTCTTTTAATCTCTGTGCTCAAGTTACCCCTTTGAGGAATGCAAGAAGTGTGAGGAGAAGCCATAAAGGGTAGTCTGTGTACACTCAGAAGTATGCAAGATGAGCAGAAAAACCCAAACACCAACAGAACCCCCAAAGCAGGGATGTACTGAATTTGAAAAGTAACTTAGCTTCCATGGCTAGTAATTCTTCTCGATTAATACAGCATCATTCTCCAGTTTACTGGAGAGAGCATCTAATCTGTCATACTGGGATTGCAGAAAGGAGATAAATGGTCTGTCTGCTCAAGGTCAGTCCATTTACTGCTACCTCTTGTAGTGGTACTTCCCCTGTGGAATACCCCACCAGATGCATCTTTCTTTATGGTGGTCTCTGTCTGCTCCTGAAACAACTAAAGGCTCTGGCCATTGTAGAGGAGGATGATGGAGTGGCAACAGTTGGTTGTTGTGTTTCCTCCATGAGATACTGGTGTGTACAAGTCTCCAGCAAGCTCAGAGGGACCCCGCAACATCCCTTCTACCATCCCCTCACTGCCTTATATTCCTAATACAGCATTTTTACTTGTGAACTGTGACTGGGGTCAATGCTCTCTAACAGTTTTCTGGCTACTATTTCAGAGAATTTTTGCAGCTGAGTGATGGGCAATGGGACCCTTGGCTGGCATGAGATAATGGCGTGCCACTGATTTTTGGAGAAGTTGGGCCTGGTCCTATAAGCCAACCACCTACACCTTTGGTTATTGTTGGTTTAGTCTTTTTCCCTCGCTTCATTTTCTTAATCAGAACAAGTTTCAAATGACAGTCCCTCTCTTCCACCCCATACTGTGTGGGACTGGCTGCTCTGTATTTAACCCTTTAGTTAGGAAAAACCTCTGAGAGTGGGAGTTCAGGTTGAGAAGCAGGTTGTTTTCAATCCAGTTTTATTCTCTTATTCCAAAATAGTTTCTGTCTCTTGGTGTATGTGTAAAATCTGTGCTCTATTCCTTCATCAACCCTAAAAACCCATGTAATTTTTTTTTTCCTGCCCATCCATTGCTCTTTCAGGGTGAAATCCTCTGTACTTTGGTCTATGAGTAGGCCCCATGAACCAGCCATATGACTGCCATGGGGCCATTTATTCCTTTGAATAAAGTAATGTAGTTTTGACTCAAAATGCAGTTCTCCTTTGTCTTACAAACCATCAGACAGTGCACATAAATCTAGGTGTTGCTAGCCTTTAAGTTTAATGTAACGCTCTAACTTTCAATGTTGTTTTCCTCAAACTTATCTTCTGTGAGTCTCAACAATTATGGCCAAAGCTCCCTGTATTTTCCTCATTTCTTTTAATATTGTAATTATTATTGCCTTAAAAATAAAGTTTGAGTAATTTTTAAACCTTGAGCAGCCTATATTTTACCTGTGTAGGTTGGATATGTATTTTTCTTTCTTCGATCTCTTCCTCTGTGTAGCAGATTGGTTTCTTGTTTATCAGCAGACTAACTAGCATAATGACAAATCTCATTTTGTGTTTGCATTGAGAAGTAAGGTGCATAGTGTTAATACAATCCTTCATTGAAGAATTGTTCCAACTTCAAAATAACCTGTATAGTCATCACAGTCACGAAGAAAATCTTAAAATATGAGTAGAGCATAAGCTACTGTCAGATCACTTTCCATATTCTGCATGCAGGCTGAGACAAGGACTTTCATTGTATCAACTTATTACCCATTGAAAGTGCCCATTTGCTAATTCTGAGGCTTAAAGATGACAGTGTAATGTCAGCTTTTGAGGTATTTCACTGGTGACCATTATAAATAAGGCATTCAGCTAATGAGTTGGTCCCCATTCTCAGTGGTCTTCTGAGCCTCTCAGGCAGCTGGTGGCCCCTAGTAGTACCTTTCCAGCTGCCAAAGATCCTTTTTCCCCTTTGAATATTTCCATGTGCTATCGATATTTCTAGGCTCTAGAAACACAGGGACAAGAGAAATTGTCTTTTAACTGAATATCAACATAAATAATGGAAAGGCAACCAGGCTGATAATTTTATTCTTTTAATTGTGAATATAGGAAACTTTTTTTTAAATTATTATAATTTGGGAACTTAATTTTCATTTAAATAATGCAACCCCAGCATTTTTGGCTGTCATGAATCTGACACCTATTTACTAGAAATCCTTCATGATCACACAGCACTACCCTGGTGGATGCCAAAATCAGAACCTTGGCAGATCCTCTGAGGTTTATCTGGATGTTTTCCCACACTGCCTCATTTTTCCCTTTTGCTCAGAAGTGCTGAGGAGATGCATGTGGAGGGGGAGGATACCCAAGAGAAAAATGTAAATCATGGCAACCTGGCTGTCAAGAGGGTATCACTTTTTAATTCCTAGCTCGTGTTCCCAGCAACAGTGGAGCTGCAATATTAAATTGTTTTATTTTACCTCTCGGCCTGGTTTTAGGTAGCAGAAGAGTCGCAGCCCTGGCCCCTTGAGCACAAAGGTAAGGGACCTTGCAACAGAAAGCCTGCCTGGAGGTTTTGTTCCCCTTTGATAGGTCGGGCTGGCTTTCATTGCAGGAGCAGCTGGAAAGAAATAATTAGCATAACAAAGAGCTATATTATAGTATTGCACTGTGCATGTGGAGCCTTCAGATACCTTCACATGTTCGGTTGCGTGCTACATAAATCTGAATTCCAGGTAGAACTGGAAAAACACAAAAAAAGAAAATAAATAGATTCCCCTAACCTTTAAAGTGAAAACATAGTCTAACTGCAAATATAGAACCCCTGAATGTTTTGGATGTAGTCATGCTGTAAGTGCCATCATTTGAACCCCGGTGCCAGTGGCTATCAGTGTGGCTGTTTGGAATTTGTGGCCAAGGAGAGCAGTTCTCCCTGGTGTGGATGGAAGGTGCTGAGGGGGATTCAGGGTGAATTCTTCCTAGTGTACGGGAGCTGATGGACTCTGGTGCATGGGGCATGCAGGCTTGGGTGATGGCCCAAGCTCCTCAGCCCCCTCTCTCTGCTGCGCCCAGCCCAGAGCTGGTGGGTTACCAAGGCTGTGGGTGCAAGCACTTCATGTTTTGCTCTGTTTTCATTGTTAGCAAATGGCAAAGCCATGCTGTGGGAGCACTGGTGATTTGCACGGATTTTACAAGAGGTTACAAAGCCTGCAGAAAGCTCCTCTACCTGCCCAGATGCCTCCCCTGGGGGCTCCCAGATGTGATACCCTCCACTCATGCCTCACTCACAGCAAAGCTGTCCCATATGTCTGTCCTTGCCCCATGTCAGAGGCTGGATGAAACCTGATATGGCCTGTGGTGTTTGCAAAACCTGTGGTCCCTTCCCTGGTTGATGTGAAATAAGCTTACATGCACCATGCCCTCCCAGCTGCCCACTCACTGCAGTGTACCTCTCTCCTCCCTTCCCCCTGCTTCTCTTTTGACTGTTTTTTTTTTGGTTTTTTTTTTGCTGAGGAAAATTACCCATCCTGGGAGCTAGAAGAAATGCAGAGAATGGAGTAAAAAGAGCAAAAATAACTCAGAAAAGGTTTTTCAAAGCTGATCCTCCCCTGGGTCCAATGTCTGTCAGACGTTCTTGCAGCATGCAGCTGCATCATGCTGTCAGAAAGAGGAATTTAAAATCTAACCTGCATATGCAACTCTTTCTCTTGCTCCCTTGTATTGAGAGTCCCTGGCAGGGTAGGAGAGTAAATCCCAGCTTAGGAGGGTGTCTCTGTCAGCCCTGCAGGCAGCCTGTATTGCAGCAGTATTGTATTGTAAGCACTGTCATCCATGGTGGTGATTTCTGCAAAACCTGAATATACTTTACCCAGATATTTGTGTTTGGCACAACCTCATCAAGCAAGGAGATGTAAGTTGAGCAAAGAGCATGGAAGATCTCAGGACTCCATCCTGGTTGTGCATGAGATAGGGAGGCTGCTGTGCCTCCAACAGAGGTAATTTGAGGGAAGAGCTGAAGGTAGGCTTTGAGGAAGGACAAAACCAGGGCATTGCAGTAGCACTTATGGTTCTTAAAAGGTTGTGGTAGTTTTAGGAAGTCATAACTTTTAAGCAGTTACTAAAAACACAGCATTCTTTAGGCTTTATGCTTCTGATAATTATAATAAAATTTATCAGAGAAAAAAAATTTGTCAAAACTAATGAGACTTTTTACATTTAAAACACACTGACATTGTGTTTTACACATTACACAAGTAATGTCTAAAATGAGAGTTGTAGTTGAAAGAGATTTGTGAGGAAAAATTACACAGATCTATTCTTTTGTTTACTTTGTGCACTTGACAGCCCTGAACACAGTCAGGTTCTCCTCTTTGCCTGTACGGTCTGTCAGTCAGTTTTCTGACATTTGTTTGAGCCTTTCACATAGCAGCAGAGAAGACAGAACTGGTTTTTATAAGGAAAATATGTCTGTGGAAACACAACGGGTGCCGATGGATTCGGTAGTAGGGAGTGTCATTGGGTGATGCTTTACATTCATTCATTTCAGGGAAAAAAAAAATTCAACAGACTGCTGTTTTGTTTTTTTGTTTGTGTGGTTGGTTTTTTTAAACAGCAGACAATGCTTCTTTGCAGCCCCGGAGAGTGTGAAACATCACACATAGGCATAGATGAAATTGTAAAAAGCAAGAGTTGAAAACGCAAGAATCTCATCTAAGCTGCTGGTAGGTTTGGGAGCATGGGGCAGTGCCAGCCCACGGAGCTTTAGTCTGGTCCTCATGGTGCACAGCCACAGACCCTGGGACAGTCTTCTTTGTGCATAATAAACACAGTGTGTCCCAAGCATGAAAAATCTCTTTTCTAGGATCTTCAGTAGCACTTACTCTGAGTCTTGTAGAGGCACATCAGGTCTGTTCTCTCTCAACCTGTTTCTAGCGCTTCAGAAACTGGGTTGTTCCTTTCTATAACAACCATGTAGCTTCATCAGCCACATCCATCTACAGTGTCCATTTCCTACGGCTCACACTGGAAAAACAGGCTCTATGACTTCTCTCATGCTAATTTCACTCTTTCATAAGAATTGTGGTCAATTTAAGCAAAGCATGCCTGACTGAGCAAAGGATGGGCATGTAATTGCTCTGGTACACCTCCGGTGGTATCAGTAACCTGGCACAGGGGCAGACCCTTTGGGCAAGGCTTGTCAGAGGAGTTCTGCTGGGCCACATACCATGCCAGGACACCCATGTAGTTATTATTTCCTTCTCTTCACAGAGATGAACTGAAGAAACAGAAATCAAGCAGGATTGAAAAGTTTTTGAGGTCAGTGAGAGCAGTTGGCTGCAGTGCTTTAAACCCTTGATGCTTGCCAGACCCACTGTACTTCCTTCAGGCCAATACTGCAGAGGTCTGTAAGACATCAAAAACCTTCCTTGAGAAATGAGAGAAGATTAGAAAGACCAGAGAGTTCTCTGTATGGACTTTTGGTAGATATATCTGTATGCAACTTCTCAGACCTTCAAGGATTGGCAAATATTTGAAACCGTTTGGTGAAAGCCAAACTCGTACATTATGGAGGACTTCCACGCCAGCCCTGCATGTGGCTAAGTGGTGTTCTCTGACTGTCTGTTTGTCCTTGCATTTGTTCTGGGATTGGACTTACATGGGATGTGCAGATTCTGCTTGAAAGTTCTGTTCCTATTTGAGTGAGACTTATTGGGGAAGAAACAGATGCCTTATGGCTCTCATATGATTGTCTGGAGAAGAGCTGCAGTCTTGCTAAGGCTCCCAGAAGTGTGTCTACACAACATCCAAAGGTGGCTGCTCTGACAGGATGATGCATCTTTGGCACAGTCCTCTGCTGCCAGTGACCCTATGGGTCAGCCCTCCTGCCCCTGCTCTGCTCCTCCTGAAGTCTCTCTGTTGGCTGTTAATGGACATCTCCCGTGCCTTTGAGCCTGGGAAACTGGAGGAGATTTGTGGTGTCTGAACTACAGCCTTAATACTTTTTGTTTTTTTGCTTTACATCAATGCTGCTTTAACTCAAATTCTTTCAGATTCTACATCGTTGAACAAGAACTGCTGCCAGACCTTCTGCTTTGAAGCAGAGGAGAAATACCTCCAAAATTTCCCTACTCAGTGCCAGAATATGGAGGAAGTCTGCCACAGTGCATGCCCTGATCTTGCTTTGGGGGAATCACTTAGAGCTGTTCTTGTTTTGACAGAGCTCATTTACCTCTCCCTGACTGCTGTAATCTCTTAAGAGTGCAATTCAGGTTGTTAATGAGAGTACCTTCATAAAGAATTTCCATATGCAAATTCCCAGTCTGAACTTTACTACAACAAAGTCTGTGTTGTTGGAATATATTTCTCTGCACCCACAATCATTGTCTTTTATTCTCTGAGCACCATACTCTCCGCTACCTGCTCCGAGCTGCTTTCC